AAGATCCTAAATTCTTACAGCCTGAACCAAAGGAAGTTGCAGACAGATTGAGCAAATAGGACACAGAAGAAGAAAATGCTTCATACAACTGGAGATGTTATTGTTGGCAGTATAGAGAAGATTGGTGGTGGAGATGGCAGAGTCAGTGACAGGAGCTCAGTGGCCAATTGCTTCCCACTGATTGTTGTGTATTCTAGTAGCAGAATTGGATTGGAAGGAAACCAAGTTTATGGGACCAGGGAGATGACTCAATTGGTAAAAACGCTCTCTATGCAAGTATGAGGACCTGAGTTCAATCTCCAGGCCCCTGTAGGAAAGCTAGATATGGTAGCATGCTCTGGCAATCCCAGCTCTAGGGAGGTAGAGACAGGAGGCTTCCTGGGGCTCTCTGGCCAGCCAGTCTAACTTATTTCGCAAATTCTAAGCCATTGAGAGACCCTGTGTCTAAACACAAGGTAGATAGTTCCTGAAGAATGTCACCCAAGGTTGACACCTGACCCCTATATGCATGCACACACATGTGTACTCACACCAACATGTATACACATACATACATAAACACACATGACAACTAAGGTTAAGCTTGTAAGAGCACCAATGACCTCAGAAGAGTGAGGGTGACCCCAGCAGAGCTGCATCACTGCAAAGTCCCACCCCATAATGAATGACAACCTCAGGGAAGCCATAACCTAGAATCTCCTGTCAGTTGATTTCCGCTTCCTGTTTCCTTAAGCATCTCTCAAGACCATTTGCAGCTGGAAGGGAGGGGCAGGAAGGAGTCATAGCAGGAATTCCAGGTCAAGCTCCCCTACTTCTTTCTATAAGCGTGTTCATAGAACCATTATCTTTACCATAGACCTGGCTACCAGTTTATTTTATTGCTCAGTGGTAGCCATGGCTACAGACCAAGTAAATCTCTGCTCAGAGGTAGCATCATGTTATACCTGGATGTAAAAACACCATATACTTATCTACCTAATATAAATATCTGTTTATTTGCATTTTAAAATGATCCAATATGATTATGTAAGAAAGAAGCAGCAAACAAAATACACAGAGAATTAGAAGCATTTTGCTGGTTATTTCCATTCATCATGATCCTCCATCTACTTTTTTGTTGTTGTTTGTTTTGTTTTATTTATACGCTATGTGATCTATGTTTGAACTGTGTGAAAGTTTGGGCTAACAAGATATATCTCAATGCTCAACATTCTCAGAGAAATGGAATTATTAAACATGAACAATCCCCAAAGACTCCATTATGTGTAATTAACAGATAAACTGTCATGAGAATCAATAAAACGTGCTAAATGATTCAAACTTGTATATAATTAAGTGTCTGTTTTAGTGCCAGAGCTGTAACTTATTTTTTTACCCACATTTCACATTTCTCACAAGGATAATTACGGCAACCTTGTTAACCCTTTTTGTTCTTGACAGAATAGATTGTTACATTAGTCAATTTAGGGGCAAAGTTCACTATCACAAATGTGAAAAATATTTCACAACTCCAGGATGAAGACACTGTTTGCTTTAAGGGAGGGAAATGGAGTATGTCTGCATGCTTTAATGAGCTGTTAGGAGGACAGTTAAAATCTTGAAAGGATGGAAAAGTTACTGTGATTTCACTATCATAATAGTGGACAAAGCATTTGAATGAAGTTGTTAATAAAGATCTTAGTCGTCACCTTTTTTTTTTAACCTTTTAGAAACATGGGGGATTTTTTTGTGGGCAAAACTGGGCTATAAAATTTTATCTCAGAAAGCAACAAGAACATTTTTAATACATGGCCTCCCATAATTATTTTGCTAAGTGAGCACGTGAAAATGACAATCATATTGCCAACTTTATAATCTGTTAAAGTTTTCTGCTATTCAGAATGGAAAAACTAAGCATGTTGTGTGTGCATGTGTGTATCCATACGCACACACACACAGCATGTATTTACATGTGTGCTCATGTTTTGTTGAGAATGCTCCTTCCATGCTATCACTCTTTGTTTTTATTTTTATAACTTGCCTGTTTCTTACTTGTATGTCTTGCCTCCCTGTCCAGACTCCATGCACATAGAGGATGTGGAGGCGGTCCAGAAGCTTCAGGATGTTCTACATGAGGCTTTGCAGGATTACGAGGCTGGTCAGCACATGGAAGACCCTCGCCGGGCTGGCAAGATGCTGATGACGCTGCCGCTGCTGCGGCAGACCTCCACCAAGGCCGTGCAACACTTCTACAACATCAAACTGGAAGGCAAAGTCCCCATGCACAAACTTTTTTTGGAAATGCTAGAGGCCAAGGTCTGACTAAAAGCACCCTGGGCTTTCCCCTTCTGCACACTGAAAAAGGGAAAATAAACCCAAGAGCGATGTCGAAGAATCTTAGAATTTAGTGAACAACATCAAAATCAGCAAAGACTGCACTGATATTTAGCAGCAAGACTAAGATGCAGCTTGCAGACCCCTCCACATCTTCCTGATAAATGTCCTCTCGGCTTTATCTGCCTTCTTTCCTCCTTTTCCTGTATTTCCCTGTTTTCCCTTCCCTCCCTTCCTCTTTCCCTTTCTCATTTCCTGAATTCCTTAATTACTACTCCCTCTTCTCCCTACCCTGCT